TGCAAGGTTTGCTGCTGAGGTTGTAAAGTTTGCTGTTGCAACTCCTGTTGAATTTGTTGAGGCTGCAAAGTTTGCTGCTGAGGTTGTACAGTTTTTTGTTGAAGTTGTTGGGATTGCATGGTTTGTTGCTGAGGTTGCAAAGCTTGTTGTTGCAATTGCTGTTGAAGTTGTTGTTGAAAATTTTGTAGTTGTATAGGTTGTTGCGCTGATAATTGTTGAATGGTTGGAGTTACATTGTAGCCATTTAATTGATTAGAAGAATCTTGTGATTGTGACAGATATGGATTTGTTGTGGTTTGTTGTTGTTGTTGAGACGTGAAAGTTTTATCATCATTTGTTTCAAAATGGTCTTGTTGTGTAAAATTTCGAGATTTTGGGTTTTGAGTAAAAACATTTTGTTGCCCTGGTATGTTGTTGCTGTTTTTATTGAAAGTTTGTGGAGTGAATTGATTATTTTGTTGAACATGGAGCAAATTTTGCTGATTTAAAATTTCTTGTGGTAAAGATTGGTATGTAATTTGTTGATTCTGAAGATGTTGAGAAGGCAATAATGGGTATTGAATTTTTTGAGGATTATAAAATTTTGATTGATTATACATATCAGATTGCTGTTGTTGTTGATACAAAATCGAAGAAGCTTGAGGAAAAGTTGCTAGAACAGAAGCTTCTTGTTTTAATAAATGATAATCTTGAGGAATTTGTTGGCTAATTAAATTATAGTTTGGATTTTGAGCTACCTTTGTAGAGTATGATATAGATGCTATTTGAAATTTTGGTGATTAATCAATATATATTATATACACATATATTTATATATATATATATATATAGTATATGTAATAAATTTAAAAATTTACATGGATAATCATATTTTTGAATTGATTCTTGCATAAGTTTCTCATAAGTCTTGGTAGACTGAATAAATTTACTGTGTAATGAGATCAGTTGATCTAAATATAAAAAAGAGAAAAAAATTTTATTTAAAATATTCAGATATAATGTACAAGTAATATGTTATATATGCCATGGCACCTACCTTTCTTTTGACTATATTTTTCAATAACTTTAACCAATTTTGATCTAATTGGTAACATAGAACTATATAGTTCCTGTTAATTTAATTCGTAAAATGTTTAATAATTAAAATTTAGAAATTGTCAAACATCAAAATTTTCATAACAATATATATAACCTGGATTTCTTCATCCTCCATGGCATTTTTTTTTTGTAAATCTATTCTTTTTAACTTTTCCAATAAAATTTCTATTTTTTGAGCTTGTGCAAATATTAAAGTTTCGACTTCAGCTTCTTTTTCAATATCATCAGGTGTTGGCTCTGACAATGTTTCCTAATCAAAATTTCAATCAACAACTCATTCATTGATTACGAATAAATAAAAACATCAATTTATTTGTTTAATATTTACAACATAGTTTACTGGGAAAATTCCTGTCTTGCCACGTATTTCTCCACGCCACCAATCTTTATAAACATCATTATCAATAACCGAAATGACGTCACCACGTACAAACCCAAGCTCGCCCGCTTCAGTAGGAGCAAAGTCATATAGCGCCTTGACTCTTTTAGTATTTCCTGTTTTTTTTGCTGGCTTTTGAGGAAGTTCTTTATTCTATATTTAAAAAAAAACCTTTAATCATTTAATGGAAAATAAAATAATAATTAAACCTGATACATACTGAAGCAGTGATTGATGGTTGGGTTGAGAATTTATTTGATAAAAACTGTAAAATAAAATTTATTATTAATGTTGTTGTTATTAATGTTGCAACATTTAAAATTTGTTTACATTTTGCGATTTACGTTTATTGACTTCATCATAATCATCATAATCACCATCAGCAGCAGCAACAACAACAACTACAACAAAATTTTAATATAATTCCTCTACAACAAGATCCGCAATATTTTAATCAATCTCAATAAAAATTTTAGTTCAGATTCATCAATATATCATCCATTCTAATATGAAAATTGATCTGGACAAAACAATTTAAATCCAAGAATTAGAAAATATATTAATCATATAAAATATTTTACTTATTTAAGAAAGTGCAATTCCTCAAAAAACCCACATTTGTTTTTTTTTTCATTTTGTCTTATTTTAAATTATATAAGAATTAAATACATTATTATTTCTGTCACATTTGGTTATCATTAACTATAATTAATTGAATCTATAATGTTTTTTAATATTTCTCATTCTTCATTTTCTATCGTTCTTTCATTTCCCTTTGTTATATGCTTTGCAGATTTTATCCATGATCTTTTGCTTCTTGCAGTATAGATCAAACTGAAGACAGTGGCATCAAGTAGAAGTCAAGTAGATAAGGGAGGTAGTTGATTGAAATTATCAAAAAGATGATTTGGTACATCTATATATGGGGTAGTATGTGATGATGGGACAATTACTATGTTTTTCTGCGCCCAGAAAGTTCCCCACATTCCTTATTTGAACATGATATTGCAACTTAGTCAACATACATCATTTCTTTCAGGGTCCACTGATCGAAAGGCATTGTCATTTGTTATAATAGATAAATCTAGCAAGACAAATAAGCTCAATACTGAATCATATGCATGTATTTGAATACCTTCTGCATTCATTTACAATGTAGCCTAATAAATATCTGCAAATGGAATGTTATCATTTATTCTAAACATATATATACCCTTGCAATTTCCTTTTGTAATTCACAAAGATTTCACATAATGAAAGCATTGAGCATAACAACCATTTTTACAATATTCTTGCAATAACTTCCATAATATTTTACAATAAAAACCATTGTAAAAATGGTTGTGTGAGATTGTAAATAAGGACTGGGGAAGTCCCGAGCATGTCGATCAATCGGAACCAACTTACTGCGGCAGCCACGT